CCTGTCACTGCAAAGGTCACCCCAGCCAGGCCAGGCATTGGATGGGAGCCAGGGAACCTGGGCTGGGGAGTCCTGCCCCCCCACACCAGCTAAGAGGGTGCCACAGGGAGATGGGAAACAGGATGAGATCAGGGGAAGGGAGAGATGGTGGGGTGGTCAGTGACAGAGAGGCAGTGATGCGAATAAAAGAGGCCAATAGGCCGGGTGTGGTGGCTCACGCCAGTAATCCCAGCACTTTGGGAAGCTGAGGCAGGAGGATCACTTGAGGTCAGGAATTCCAGACCAGCCTGGCCAACATGGTAAAACCCTATTTCTACTAAAATATAAAAATCAGCCAGGCATAGTGATGCATGCCTGTAGTCCCAGATACTCAGGAGGCTGAGGCAGGAAAATCTCTTGAACCCGGGAGGCAGAGGTTGCAGTGAGCTGAGATCGTACCACTGCACTCCAGCCTGGGCAACAGAGCGAGACTCGGTCTCAAAAAAAAAAAAGTAAGCAAGATACTTATTAAGTAGAAAATGATCTAGTTCCTCAGATGCTGATAGACAGCAAGAAGAAACATAAAGCAAGACAGATATGCGTAGGAGGGGCTATGACATTTCCCACAGGTGGTCAGTCAGGGCTGCTCTGCGAAGGTGACAGCGGGCGAAGACATGAGGGCTCCCACTTCGAGTGGGACCAGCAGCAACAGCAAGTGCAGGGCCCCGGGGTGGGAGAGTCCCTGGTGGGTCTGGAAAGCCACAAAGCGGGTGCGGCAGAGTGGAGGAGGAGGAGGAAAGTGGGAGGAGGTGAGGTCAGCCAGCCTGGGTGGACCCCGATGAGAAGTCTGGGCTTCTCTTCCGAGGGAAATGGAAGCTGTGGGAGGGTTCTGAGCAAGGGCCTGATGTGACTTTGCTAAATAAAGAAAGACGCAGAGACAAAGAGAAACGGGGGCAGATTACACATGACACATGGAAGGAACGGAATTGAAAAAACAAAGAAAATGAGACAGAGACAAAGACAGGGGTCAGAGAGCAAAATGTCAGGAAACAGACACGTTTGGAAAGACAGAGATCCGCCGGGCATGGCTCACGCCTATAATCCCTGCCCTTTCGGAGGCCAAGGTAGGTGGATCATGAGGTTAGAAGTTCAAGACCAGCCTGGCCATGATGGTGAAACCAGTCGCTACTAAAAATACAAAAATTAGCCAGGCCTCGTGGCTGGCATCTGTAGTCCCAGCTACTCAAGAGGCTGAGGTAGGAGAACTGCTTGAACCTGGGAGGCGGAGGTTATAGTGAGCCAAGATCGTGCCACTGCACTCCAGCCTGGGTGAAACAGTGAGACTCCCTCCATTCTCAAAATAAAAAAAGAAAGAGAGAGAGAGAGAGAGAGAGAGAGAGACTCAGAGGGGTGATGAGGGAACAACAGACAGGCAGAAGAGAGACAGACAGACAGACAGAGAGGCCGTCAGAGCTCAGGTCTGTGGGATTCATTTCCTCTCTGGGGGCCTCACTTTCCCTCCAGAGGACTTCTTAATGAAGTCTTTCCTTTTCTAACATTTGAGGTCTAGGGCTGGAAGGAGTTAGAGGCCATATATAATATATATATATATATTTATATTATATATAATTATATAATATATATATTATAATATAATTATATAATATATATATATTATATATATATATATTTTTTTTTTTTGAGACAGATATTTGCTCTTGCTGCCTAGGCTGGAGTGCAGTGGTGCCATCTCAGCTCACTGCAACCTCTGCCTCCCATATTCAAGCGATTCTTCTGCCTCAGCCTCCGAAGTAGCTGGGAGTACAGGTATCTGCCACCACGCCCAGCTAATTTTTTGTATTTTTAGTAGAGACAGAGTTTCACCATGTTGGCCAGGCTGGTCTCGAACTCCTGACCTCAGGTGATTCGCCCATCTTGGCCTCCCAAAGTGCTGGGATTATAGGTGTGAGTCCTTGCACCTGGCCCAGAGGTTATATTAAAAAAAAAAAAAAAAAATAGGCACAGTGGCTCAAGCCTGTAATCTCAACACTTTGGGAGCCCAGGGCAAGAGGATCAGTTGAGCCCAGGAATTTGAAATATGGCCCAGAAAGACAGTTCCCATGAGACACACACACAGCAACGGAAGAGGTGAATTTGGGGGTGGGGGCATGGGGGTGGGAGGGGTGCCTGGGTCCCCTTGTCCCTTCTCTAACCTTGGTAGATGTCCTGGAGAGAACCAGCCCCGCAGAATTCCATGCAGATCCAGAGTTTCTGCAACCTGAAGTGGTTGGAGAATCAGAATAGTAAGAGCAGTGCTACATTCTTATTTCCAGGAAAGCCCCTGCTTTGCCTCTGTCTTGTTCTAGCTCAGTAATGTAACAACAGCTCTCATAGCTCCATCTCTCCTGTCTACCAGAGTGAGGTTGTTTCATTCCCATTTTACAGATGAGGAAGTTAAGGCTCAGAGAGGAAATGTGGGGGGGGTGGGCAACTCAGCTCGAACCTAGGTCTTTAGGTGGGACCCCTCTGCCGTCCCATGCCAACCCAGGAGACAGGGAAGAGATCTCATGGGTTGTGGAGGTTTGGAGGGGATAGCGGGGCCCAGGACACCTGTTCTGGGGAGCAGAGGTCATTATTGGGGCATCTGGAATATTAATTTGGGGATCAGGGAATTTAGGAGTTTAAATTAAAGGAGCAGAGCGTGAAACTGGGGGAAGCAAAGGGCAGAATGACGAGAGATTGGTTTCAAGGAGGTTGATTTCAGATTCAGTTATGAAGAGATCAGTTTGGTGTACTCTTGGTCAGAAATGTGAATTCAGGATTGGAGATGAGATTAGAGGCTGCTCGAAAAGTGGGACTTAGGAGTGGGGATCGGGTAGGGTTAGGCCAGTTAAAAATAGGGGTCCAGGATGGGAAGTTGGGTTATGGTGAGAAATGGAGGTTCAAGGTTAGAACTGAGGGTGTCAAGGACGGGCACGGTGGCTCATGCCTGTAATCCCAGCACTTTGGGTGGCCGAGGCAGGTGGATTAGGAGGACAAGAGTTCAAAACCAGGTTGGCCAACATGGTGAAACCCTGCTCTACTAAAAATACACAAATTAGCTGGCTGTGGTGGCGGGTGCCTGTAATCCCCACTACTCAGGAGGCTGAAGCAGAAAAATGCTTGAACCCGGGAGGTGGAGGTTGCAGTGAGCCGAGATGGCACCACTGCGTTCCAGCCTGGGCAACAGAGCAAGACTTCGTCTCAAAAAAAAGAACTGAGGGTGCCCCCATCAAGAAACAGGGGCTCTGAGTTAGGGGCTGGGCTGGGTGCCAGGGTGGGTCTGAGGTTCATCACCAGAGATAACTCCCATGGTAGGCCACGATGTTGGCATGCCGGCAAGTTTTCAACATGAGGATTTCCTTCTGAAGGGTGGAGACATCGTCGTCTGGAGGGCGGGAGAGAAAAGGCAGCTTGCACAGAGAGAGCTACGGGAGGTGATCCCAGTCTCCCAGGAGGCCAAGCTGGGGACGCGGGGAAGGAGCTCCGGGTTCCCTCCTCACCAGGCTCCATCTTCACCATCTTCAGTGCCACCAGGTCCCCCGACACCTTATCTCGAGCCTTGCAAAGGGGAAGTTGGCAGTCAGGCAGATTCCATTTGCCGGAGTCTCTCCTCAGCATCCCTGAGTCAAGGCCAAGGACTGGGACCCCCCTCTTGCAGCCTCCTCCCTACCGAGGCCTCGCCTTAAAGGTCACTGGTTTAAGGGTATTGGGGATGGAGGGGCTTCCTCACCTTAAAGACTTCCCCATATGTGCCGCCACCCAGTCGCTGCAGCAGGTCGTAATGGTCCCGGGGGTCTCTATTGAAAATGTCAGGGTCCACGAGGTCCATCCCTGGGGGCCGGAGCTGGGCCTGCGCCCAGGGGCCAGCAGGGCCTCAGGGCTCAAGTTCTGGCACCTCCCTCCGTCCCCAGAAGCCCTGCAACCGCCTTGCCTCCGCGGGCTGTGGCCTCCCCCCACCCCACTCTCGCTTCCTGCCCCAGCTGCACTGCAGGGCTGTGCAACGGGCTCCACCCCCGTCCCCTGGGCTCTGAGAGCCTCTGAGGGGCAGCTTGTCTTGGGACCCAAGGGACCATCCTTAACCCCCAAGGCCCGGGGCTGGATGTAAATGTGATGCAAATGATCTTAATCGTAACTTGGGGTAAGGGGTGCCTTGGAACCCCCGCCCCCGTCTCCTAGAATGGCTAAACTTCTGCGGGGTGCTTGAAGGTTTGGCCACGACCTGAAGGCGGCAAGTCTGCACAGGGATGGCTATGCAGTGTTCATGCCTGTTCACCTGGCACAAACGTGCACTTAGGTTACCTCCTCTGCAGTGCGCAGGCGTGTAGACGTGCATATGCCTAGTTATCTGTGTGCACAGTACACATGTGGATGTACCCAGGGCATATACCTCCACATACATGGCACATAACTGTACAAAACCTGAACATAATATAATTCATGGCTGTACAGCTGGGACGCTCTCCCTCATCTCCAAGACCGGAACCTAATGGAGACGGGGCGCGATCCGGGGAAGTCCAGGAGCCCTCACCCCAGCCCCTGCCCTGCAGAGAACAATAGCTTCGTGGGACCCTCCTCCTGGAGCTGGGGACCAAGGGCCGGGACTTGAAACTGGAGAGCTCAGGATCCTGCACCGGGGGCCCAGGCCTGAGGCAAGAGGGACCGCAAGAGGGCATCTCCCTTGGAACTTGTCCATGACCTAAAGGGAGGGCTGCGGCGTGCATTCCCGCAGGGCTCGGTGGCTTTATGGCCGCACGCAATACAACGCGCGCGCACGCCGCCAGCGCTCCGGCAGCTTCCCGGGGACTTCGCGCGCGCACGCTCCCGCGCCCCCGGCACTGGAACTGGGACTGTGAGGCCGGGGAAAAGCTTAGCCCCGCCCCGGCGCCACGAGAGGCGCCTGCGCATTAGGATACAGTAGGCTTTTTCTCACGCTGTCCGTCCAGCTCTAGTGGAGCGAATGCGCACGCGCCAATTGCGCCTGCGAAGAAGTGTCATTGCCGCCGGAAAGTGTGGCGGCTGCTGCGAGAGCCTTTCCCTTCACTGCCCCCAAGGAGCTGGAACGACAACAACGACGTCGTTTCCGTTTCCATCGCCTCTTCCTTTTCCCGTCCTCGAGGACGCCGTGCCAAGCCGGTGTTAGCCTCCAGCCCTGGTTGTGGAAGACGACAGTAGTCATGGCGATGTTTGAGCAGATGAGAGCCAACGTGGGCAAGTTGCTCAAGGGTATCGACAGGTCTGAGCTCGGCCGGAGGGAGCGGGGTGGCCATGCGGGGCGGAGAAGAGGTTTTCCGGAGACAGCAAGGGGTGGTCAGGGACCTGGGCTTGCCGCGGGGTGGGGTTTCTCTATCCCCCTGGAAGAGGAGATGCTGAAGAAACGGCACTGAGCTGGGCGCAGTGCTTCACGCCTGTGCTTTTAGCACTTTGGGAGGCCGAGGCAGGCAGGTCGCTTGAGCCCAGGAGTTCGAGACCAGCCTGGGCAACATAGCTAGCAAAACCCCCGTCCCTGAAAGAAAGAGAGAGAGAGGAAGGCGTGGAGGGAGGGAGGTACAGCACTGCAAAGGCCTTAAAGCGAGAGAATCTTGCCTACCATTCAGTCTCCGTTTTTCTTTCCTTTTTCTTGAAACGGCGTCTCGCTCTTTTGCCCAGGCTGGAGTGCAGTGACACAATCTCGGCTCACTGCAATCTCCGCCTCCCGGGTTCAAGCTATTCTGCCTCAGCCTCCCAGGTAGCTAGGATTACAGGCGCGCGCCACCACGCCGGGCTAATTTTTGTATTTTTAGTAGAGACGGGGTTTCACTGTGTTGGTCGGGCTGATCTCGAGCTACTGACCTCATGATCCGCCTGCCTCGGCCTCCCAAAGTGCTGGGATTACAGATGTAAGCCACCTCCCCCGCCTAGTGTCTAATTGAATTGCCTTAAATTGCCTTAAGGTTTCCTTCTCTGCTCGGCCTCCTTTGAGTGCCTCTTAATGCCTCCCTTTCTCTGCCCCTAACGTCATTCATTTGCCACGAGTTTACTGAAATAAACTGTGAGTGCTAGGCTATGCTGGGAACAATAGGTGAATCAGACAGCGGCAGATCATGCTTTCTCTGTCTGAGTTCCCATTCCATAAGGGAGACGAACCAGACGGTTATAGCCGGGAGAGGTTACAACCGAAATGGGGGAAGCAAAGGCCAGAGTGTTCAGGCAAAAATGGGGGAAGTAGGCAGCGAGGTAGGCAGGAGAAGATGGGGCAGGATCAGGGTGGAGACCTGAGCTGGGTCACCCAAGGGGTGAGTAGCAGAGATGTTCAGGAGGCCAGGTGTACAAGCTACAGTGACTGGCTCAGAGGTTGAGGGGGGCATCATAGGCAAGACCCAGGGCTCCAGTGGAGTTTAGAACTTAGGCGAGAGGTCTGGGATAAGTTTTATTAGCAATTATACTGGACATAACTCACTACCTGAATAAAGCAAGTGGCCTGTGCCAGGTTTAAAGGGGAAGGGAGGGAGGAGCACATTCCAGTGGCCCCTTGCTCAGTAAAGTGACTGGCCTCAGCTTCTGTCTCCTCTTTGTACACTCTTCTTGATTCTGCTTTAGGTACAATCCTGAGAACCTGGCCACCCTGGAGCGCTATGTGGAGACACAGGCCAAGGAAAATGCCTATGATCTGGAAGCCAACCTGGCTGTTCTGAAACTGTAAGTGTCTGGCTCTCTGTCTTCACTCCTGTGCCAGCAGCTAGTGGGGTGCCACTCCCAGTACAGGACAAGGGGGAGGCCGGAGGTATCCTGCACAATGCAGCATCTTTTGGTGTGCAAGACTAGAAAGCAAAGGAAGTTGGGACAGGAGGAGGGATGGTTTGGGGTTTTTTTCTTTTTAAGATGGAGTTTCACTCTTGTTGCCCAGGCTGGCATGATCTCAGCTCATAGCAACCTCCACCTCCCGGATTTAAGCAGTTCTCCTGCCTCAGGCTCCCAAGTAGCTGGGATTACAGGCATGTACCACCATGCCCAGCTAATTTTGTATTTTTAGTAGAGACAGGGTTTCTCTATGTTGGTCAGGCTGGTCTCAAACTCCTGACCTCAGATGATCTGCCCGTCTTGGCCTCCCACATTTCTAGGGTTATAGGCATGAGCCACTGGCCTGGAGGGATTTTTTTTTTTTTTTTTAATCAATTAAGGAGGGCTGGACGCGGTGGCTCACGCCTATAATCCCAGCACTTTGGGAGGCCGAGGCAGGTGGATTACGAGGTCAAGAGATCGAGACCATCCTGGTCAACAAAGTGAAACCCCATCTATACTAAAAATACAAAAATTAGCTGGGCATGGTGGTGCACGCCTGTTGTCCCAGCTACTCGGGAGGCTGAGGCAGGAGAATTGCTTGAACCCAGGAGGCGGAGGTTTCGGTGAGCTGAGATCGTGCCACTGCACTCCAGTCTGGGTAACAATAGTGAAACTCCGTCTCAAAAAAAAAAAAAATCAATTAAGGATGGGTGCAGGGGCTCATGCCTGTAATCCCAGCACTTTGGGAGGCTGAGGCGGGAGAATCACTTGAGCCAAAGAGTTTAAGACCAACCATGGCAACATAGCAAGACCCAGACTGTATTTAAAAAAAATTTAAAAATTAATGTGGTGGCGTGTGGTTGTAGTTCCAGGTACTTGAGAGGCTGAGGTGGGAGGATCACTTAAGCCTGGGAGATCCAGGTGCAGTGAGCCATGATGCATCACTGCACTCCAGCCTGGGGGACAGAGTGAGACCCTTCTTTTTCTCAAAAAGAAAAAAAAATTAAGAATTAGCAGCCTAGGTGACATGGCAAAACCCTGTCTCTACAAAAAATTAGCTGAGCCTAATGGTGCACGGCTGTAGTCCCAGCTGCTTGAGAGGCTGAGGCAGGAGAATTGCTTGAGCTTGGGAGGCAGAGTTTGCAGTGAACCGAGATCGAGCTACTGTACTCCAGCCTGGTCAAGAGAGTGAGACCCCATCTCAAAAATAAATAAAACAGGCCGGACGCGGTGGCTCAAGCCTGTAATCCCAGCACTTTGGGAGGCCGAGGCGGGTGGATCACAAGGTCAAGAGATCGAGACCATCCTGGTCAACATGGTGAAACCGCATCTCTACTAAAATACAAAAAAATTAGCTGGGCATGGTGGCACGTGCCTGTAATCCCAGCTACTCAGGAGGCTGAGGCAGGAGAATTGCCTGAACCCAGGAGGTAGAGGTTGCGGTGAGCCGAGATTGTGCCATTGCACTCCAGCCTGGGTAACAGGAGCGAAATTCCGTCTCAAAAATAAATAAATAAAAACAGAACGCATGTACAGGCTAATAATACATTAAGCAAACATGTAGTTTAACAAATTAATAAATGAAAGCCTACATCATTGTTGCTAGCACCACAGGCTCTTTACCCTATATGCTCTGCACTAACCAACTCCCGGGGTCCCCCATGCTCTCATGGCCTGGCTTTTTGTGATGGTTTACCATGCATGCATACATCTGGATCAGCTTAGCTCAGGTTTGCCTGCTTAGAACATGATACAGATGGAGTGCATACAGCACAAACCCTTCTGTGTCTGGCATTTGCTACTCAGCACTGGGTTTGTGAGATCCATCCAGTGTGGTGGTAGTTTTTTTTTGTTGTTTTGTTTCGTTTTCTTTTAGACAGAGTCTTGCTTTGTTGTCAGGCTGGAGTGCAGTGGCGTGATCTCAGCTCACTGTAATCTCCTCCTCCCGAGGTCAAGCGAGTCTCCTGCCTCAGCCTCCCGAGTAGCTGGGATTACAGATGTGCGCCACCACACTCAGCTAATTTTTGTATTTTTAGTTGAGACGGGGTTTCACCATGTTGGTCAGGCTGGTCTTGAACTCCTGACCTCAGGTGATCTACCCACCTCAGCCTCCCAAAGTGCTGGGATTACAGGCGTGAGCCACTGTGCCTGGCCTTTACAGTGGCACAGTCATGGCTTACTACAACCTCAGCTGGGACTACAGGTATGCACCACCAAGCCCAGCTAATTTTATTTGGGTGCTTGGGTGCTTCCTTTCTTTTTTGATTTTTTAATTTTTACGAAGCTACTATGTTTTTGTTTTGTTTTTGTTTTTGTTTTGAGACAGGGTCTCACCCTGTTCCCCAGTCTGGAATGCCTTGGCATGCTCTCATGATCTCAGCTCACTGAAACCTTTGCCTCCCAAGTTCATGTGATCCTCCTGCCTCAACCTCCTAAGTAGCTGTGACTACAGGTATGTACCACCACACCTGGCTAATTTTTGTATTTTTAGTAGAGATGGAATTTCACCATGTTGGCCAGGCTGCTCTCGAACTCCTGGCCTCAAGTGATCCACCTGCCTCAGCCTCCCAAAGTGCTGGGATTACAGGTGTGAGACACACACACACACACACACACACACACACACACACACCCGGGTCTGTTGTCCTGTTTTGCAAGGGAGGAAGCTGTAGCCCCTCAGTTTCCTTTCTCTGGTCCTCAGCCTTTCAGTGCCTCTTAATCTCTCTCTTCTCTGCTCCTCGTGTCATAAGTAAGTAGTTTAAAGTCACTCAGGAGGAGGTTTAAACCAAGGCAGTCTGGCCCTGGTTCCTTAACCACTATTCCAGACCACTGCTGCTGTTTCTCTGTGAGTGAATCACTTAGCCGTGTCTACCCCATTGGGTGGTTGTGGGCGTTAACTGTCCCTGTTCACAGAGGAGAAAAGTGGGCTCAGGGAGGTGAAGGTTACACAGCCAGGAAGCACTGGGATTGGGATTGGAACCCAGGCATGTCCAATTCCCAAACTCTGCTAAAGCAGTGGACAGCCTGGCACCTGGTGAGGGTTGGGGACTTGGAGGTTCCACTGTGGCCACGTCTCTTGTTCTCTTTCTTAGGTACCAGTTCAACCCAGCCTTCTTCCAGACCACAGTCACCGCCCAGATCCTGCTGAAGGCCCTCACCAATCTGCCACACACCGACTTCACCCTGTGCAAGTGCATGATTGACCAGGCGCATGTATCCTTCCTGCCCTGGGTTGGGGGGTGAATGGGAGGGGGCCAGAGTCAAGGTACGTGAATTCTCGGGAGATGGTCTGTGGGTGCATCCACAGACACCAAATGCCTGCTCTGGTCCAGCCTGTCAGTGCTGGATGGGGCTAGGACACTGTGATGACTGAGACAGACCTGGGCCCTGCTCTCAGAAAGTTGTCACAGCCCAGTGAGGAGACAGTGATGGCCTGGAGTGGTCAGGATTGGGTTAGAAGAGCCAGAGCGGCCGGGCACAGGGACTCACACCTCTAATCCCAGCATTAGATCTGAGGTCAGGAGTTTGAGACCAGCCTGGCCAACATGGTGAAACCCCATCTCTACTAAACATACAAAAACTTAGCTGGGCACAGTGGTACACGCCTATAGTCCCAGGTACTTGGGAGGCTGAGGCAGGAGGATCATTGAACCTGGGAGGTGGAAGTTGCAGTGAGTCAAGACTGTGCCACTGCATTCCAACCTGGGCAACAGAGCAAGACTGTCTCCAGGAAAAAAAGAAAAAGAAGAGCTAGAGCAGGCACTGGACCATTTGGGCGGGGGAATATGTGGACATGCACACAGCCATCTGGATTTACATTTCTAGAGAGAAGTCTCTGGAAAGGTACTGAAGAATTGCAAGTGGCTGTTACCTCTTAGGAAGGATGGCTGTGAGACGGGAGGGAAGACCTTTCTTGCCATTGTTCACTCTTCTGTGTTTTTAACTAGAAACAATAAAGCAGGGTCTCCTGGAGGAGGGAACATCTAAAACAAGGAGTTAGGGAAGGGTAGACAAAGGTGGTCCAAGCAGAGAGGACACTCGTGGGCTCAAGGAAGCAGAGCTCGGCACTGTCGAAGAAATAGAGGAAGATTGACATAGGAATGATGCAGGGCTTGGTTTGTTTTCTTTTGTTTGGTTTTTGAGACGGAGTCTCACTCTGTCGCCCAGGCTGGAGTACAGTGGTGCAATATTGGCTCACTGCAACCTCCACCTCCCAGGTTCAAGCTATTCTCCTGCCTCAGCCTCCTGAGCAGCTGGGACCGCAGGTATGTGCCACCACACCCAGCTAATTTTTGTAGTTTTAGTAGAGACAGGGTTTCTCCATGTTGGCCAGGCTAGTCTTGAACTCCTGACCTCAGGTGATCCACCCACCCGGGCCTCCCAAAGTGGCGCAATCTCGGCTCACTGCAAACTCTACCTCTTGGGTTCAAGCTATTCTCCAGCCTCAGCCTCCTGAGCAGCTGGGACCACAGGAGCATGCCACCATGCCCAACTAATTTTTATATTCTTAGTAGAGACAGGGTTTCACCATGTTGACCAGGCTGGTCTTGATGTCTTGACCTTGTGATCTGCCTGCATCAGCCTCCCAAAGTGCTGGATTAGTGACATGAGCCACTGTACCTGGCTTTTTAAAATTATTTAATTTTTTTTTTTTTTTGAGATGGGAGTCTCGCTCTGTAGCCCAGTCTGGAGTCAGTGGCACATTCTTGGCTCACTGCAACCTCTGCCTCCAAGTGAGTCTCCTGCCTCAGCCTCCTGAGTAGCTGGGATTACAGGCACCCGCCACCACACCCAGCAGATGTTTGTATTTTTAGTAGAGACGGGGTTTCACCATGTTGGCCAGGCTGGTCTGGAACTCCTGACCTCAAGTGATTTGTGCACCTCATCCTCCCAAAGTGCTGGGATTATAGGCGTGAGCCACCAGGCCAGGGACATCATTTTTCATCTTTTGTCATTACAACCAGTCCTGCCGCCAAATCCTTTCTCCCTCACAAACCTCAGGAGAAATCAACTGGCTTCCTTTTCCAGCTCTTTTTCTCGGCTGAACCTTTGGAAGAAAGCAGTTAGAAGATAGGTGGGGAGTGGTGACCTGGGGCCCAGCCTTAGGCTCCAAGGGCACTTTTCCTTAACACTTCTCCTGCCAGCAAGAAGAACGGCCAATCCGGCAGATTTTGTACCTCGGGGACCTGCTGGAGACCTGCCACTTCCAGACCTTCTGGGTAACTTCCTGGGTCCAGGGGCAGGGGAGATGGCAGGGCCGTGTAGAGCTGAATGCTAAAAGTAACAAGTGTGCGCATTGACTGTCTTCCTGTTTTGATGGTGGGCCTGGTGCTCTGCACTTGTGATTTTGTGGAATTATCATCCTCTCGCAGAGTGGGTACTCACAGGTCATCCCCATGCCCACAGGCTGCGGCCGACCCTTTCCCCTCTCTCCTGTCTTTCCATTGGGCCCTCTGGTACCCACCTTTGATCAGAAGTCCTCTAGTGGCTGGGCGTAGCGTCTCACCTGTGATTCCAGTACTTGTGGAGGCGGAGGCGGGAGGATCGCTTGAGGCCAGGAGTTCCAGACCAGCCTGAGCAACATAGTGAGACCTCATCTCTACAAAACTGAAAATTAACTGGGTGTGGTGGTATGTGCCTATACTCCCAGCTACCCAGGAGGCTAAGGTGGGAGGGTCGCTTGAGCCTGGGAGTGAGCCTGATCGCACCACTGCACTCCAACCTGGGCAACAGAGCAAGACCCTATCTCAAGAAAGAAAGAAATTCTCCATCTCTTCTGCCTGTCTGACGTGCTCTGCCTTTCTTGCTATAACTGGAACCTGGCCCCCTATTTCTGCAGACTCCTGAGTAGGCTAGATCACTTCCTGCTCCTGTCCCTTCTGAAACCCCCAGTCTTTTTGTTGTTTTTTCTTTGTTTGTTTTTTGGTTGTTTTGAGACAGTCTCACACTGTTGCCCAGGCTGGAGTGCATGGCGTGATCTTGGCTCACTGCAACCACCGCCTCTCAGGTTCAAGCAATTCTCCTGCCTCGGCCTCCCAAGTGGCTAGGATTGCAGGTGCGTGCCATCATGCCCAGCTAATTTTTGTATTTTTAGTAGAGATGGGATTTCACCATGTTGGCCAGGCTGGTCTTCAACTCCTGACCTCAGGTGATCTGCCTGCCTTGGCCTTTGAAACTGCTGGGATTGCAGGCGTGAGCCACCGTGCCCGGCCAGAAACCCCCAGTCTTAAAGTGCACATGTCATCACTTCCTGCCCCGATTTGTTGGTATCAGACCCTCTGATGACTGGTTTTTGTTTCTTGATGAATTCAGCTCCTTCTCACTGGTGCTCTATACCACTCCCTAATTCTTAGATGATTAGAAAGTCACACAGCAGATCCTTTGACCACCCAGACCTCTGGGTTCCTTGATCTCTTGGCCAGCTATCTTGTGCTACATCTGACCTTAGCCCTTCTGTTTCAGTTATACCCTGGGCCAGTTCTCTGCACATTGGGCCTCTGAGGCATTTTTTTTCTTTTTTCTTTTTTTTTTGGAGACGGAGTTTCGCTGTTGTTACCCAGACTGGAGTGCAATGGCACGATCTCAGCTCACCGCAACCTCTACCTCTGGGTTCAAGCAATTCTCCTGCCTCAGCCTCCCGAGTAGTTGGGACTACAGGTGTGCACCACCATGCCCAGCTAATTTTTGTATTTTTAGTAGAGACGGGGTTTCACCTTGTTGACCAGGATGGTCTCTATCTCTTGACCTCGTGATCCACCCACTTCGGCCTCCCAAAGTGCTGGGATTATAGGCGTGAGCCACTGCACCCAGGTTTTTTTTTTTTTTTTTTTTTTGAGACGAAGTCTCACTCTCTCGCCCGCCCAGGCTGGAGTGCAGTGGCACGATCTTGGCTCACTGCCACCTCAGCTTCCAGAGTTCAAGCAATTCTCTGCCTCAGCCTCCCCTGTAGCTGGAATTACAGATGCCCATCACCACGCCTGGCTAATTATTGTTATTATTATTTGTATTTTTAGTAGAGACGGGGTTGGTCTTGAACTCCTGACCTCATGATCCACCCACCTTGGCCTCCCAAAGTGCTGGGGTTACAGGCGTGAGCCACTGTGCCCAGCCTATTTTCTTTTCCTTTTTATTTGTTTATTTATTTATTTTTGAGACAAAGTCTCACTCTGTTGCCCAGGCTGTAGCACAGTGGCGCAATCTCAACTCACTGCAACCTCCGCCTCCCGGGTTCAAGCGATTTTCCTGCCTCGACCTCCCAAGTACCTGGGACTACAGGCATGCACCACCACGCTCGGCTCATTTTTGTACTTTTAGTAGAGGTGGGATTTCACCATGTTGGCCAGGCTGGTCTTGAACTCTTAACTTCAAGTGATCTGCCTGCCTCGGCCTCCCAAAGTTCTGGGACTACAGGCATGAGCCACCACTCCTGGCCCTCTGAGGCATTTTTAAAAATTGATACTGATCTTTGGGCCCTGCCCTCACAGAGTCTGATGTAATTGGTTCAGTGTAGCCTAGGCCTTGGGATTTTAAAAAGTTATCCTGGGTGATCTGGACATCTGGCCAATGTTGGGAGCCAGTGCCCTCACCAATAATGGCTCCCCTCCTCTCCCTGTGTTTCCAGCATATTCACTCTGCCCACTTCCTTCGAGCTTCTCAGCTCACCCCCATGGCATCTCCATCCCCCTATTCTTGGGCCTGACCAGTAGCTCCAGCCCTCTTTCTTTGCGGGTTCCTCCATTCTGCTTCCTTCTCTTAAATCGCATATGTCTCCCATCCCCAGCTGCAGCTGAGGTCTTCCTTCCCCAACTCTGGACATTTCCTCATGCTTTCTTCTCACCTCCCTTTCTTTTCACCTCAACTTATGATCTGGTTTCTTGTCTTAGGAGAAAATAGAAGCAGCCACCACAGAAATCACACCTGTTTCCATCCCAGACCCTGACATTTTATGTGCAACTGACTGCATACTTTTTTTTTTGAGACAGGGTCTCACTCTGTCACCCAGGCCACAGTGCAGTGATGCAAACACAGCTCACTGCAGCTTCAACCTCCAAGGCCAGTGTGATCAAGTGATCCTCCCACTTCAGCCCCCTGAGTACCTGGGATTGCAGGCACATACCACTACGCCTGACTAATACTTATAGTTTTAGTAGAGGTGGGGTTTTGCCACATTGACCAGGCTGGTCTTGAACTTCTGGCCTAAAGTGATCCTCCTGCCTCGGCCTCCCAAAGTGCTGGGATTACAGGTTGAGCCACCATCCCCGGCCACAGATCTGGGTTTTGCCCACCTCACTGGCTGCACCTTCTTGGCATCCCTGTGGGTTCCTCATTTCCCTCCCTTCTGTTAGAGGGAACCTGTGCCATGGAGCTGATATTTGAGCAGAAACCTGAAGGAGGGGAGGGTGGTAGCCATGGAGGAGGAGAATTCCACACACAGGAACAGCCAGTGCAAAGGGCCTGGTGTGCGTGGGTGCCTGGCGGGTTTGGGGAGCAGTGGGGAGGCCCCTGTGGCTGGAGCAGGGTGAGTGGGCGGAGGTGAGGGCACAGAGGTGACAGACAGATTCTGTGTGGCCTCATGGGCTATGGTAAGAAGATTGGCCTTTTCTCTGAGTGAGACAGAAGCAAGGGGAGCTGGCTGAATACACTGAGCCAGTATGTGTCTGTCTCCCTTCTCAGGGATGTGGTTTCTGCCTGCCAGGTTCAAGCCTCATGTGAGCTCCAGGAATTTGGGCAAATCACCTAAATGCCCTGGTTTCCTCATCTCTAAAATGGATGTAACTTACATCACAGAGTTGTGCTCAGACGACTGGCAACCATGTGGGGTCAATGCTCAAATGGTAGCTGCTTTTTTTTTTTTTTTTTCTTTTGAGTCTGAGTATGGCTCTGTCACCCAGGCTAGAGTGCAATGATACGATTTTGGCTCAGTGCAGCCTCTGCCTCCCAGGTTCATGCAAGGCTCCTGCCTCATCTTCCCAAGTAGCTGGGATTACAGATTACAGGCACCCACTACCACGCTTGGCTAATTTCTGTATTTTTAGTAGAGATGGAGTTTCACCATGTTGGACAGGATGGTCTCAAACTCCATACCTCAAGTGATCCACCCACCTCAGCCTCCCAAAGTGCTGGGATTACAGGCATGAGCCACCACGCCTGGCCTGACAGCTGCTATTGTTGTTAACATTACGGATGTGAACATTGTTGATATATAAGATTACCATGTAGGCTGGGAGTGGTGGCTCATGCCTGTAATCCCAAAACTTCGGGAGGCCAACATGGGCAGATCACTTGAGCCCAGAAGTTTGAGACCAGCCTGGGCAATACAGTGAGTCCTCGTCTCTGTCACACAACAGCAAAAAATCCGAGCACTTTGGGAGGCTGAGGCAGGAAGATCACCTGAGCCCAGAGATTCAAGACCAGCCTGGGCATCGTAGTGAGACCCCATCTTTATATATAAATAAAAATAAAGACAAATAATTTAAAAGGATAAATATTATGAACATCAATTCCCATTACAGCAAGCCCTGGATGAAAACATGGACCTCTTGGAAGGTATAACTGGCTTTGAAGATTCTGTCCGAAAGTGTGAGTCTGTCTCTGAGCCTGGGCTCTGCAAGGGGAAGGGGTGGGGAGTGGCAGCCAGGTCCAGGGAGACAGCTCCTCACCATTTTTTTCTCTGACCTCCACAGTCATCTGCCATGTCGTGGGTATCACTTACCAGCACATCGACCGTTGGCTGTTGGCCGAGATGCTCGGGGATCTATCAGGTAATACCCTCTGTGTCCTTGTGCACATCTGGGAGGTTGGGGGTGGCTAGGGCAGTGGACCTCAGTCAGCTCTTCCAATGGGCCTGTCCAGGTCTCATCAGGTCAGTATGGAAGGCCCAGTCCAGGAAGGAAATAAGAACTTGGTATAAGACAGGCCCTAGGCTGGGCACAGTGGCTCACGCCTGTAATCCCAGCACTTTGGGAGGCCAAGGCGGGTGGATCACGAGGTCAAGAGATCGAGACCATCCTGGTCAACATGGTGAAACCCCGTCTCTACTAAAAATACAAAAAATTAGCTGGGCACGGTGGCACATGCCTGTTATCCCAGCTACTCAGGAGGCTGGGGCAGGAGAATTGCCTGAACCCAGGAGGCGGAGGCTGCGGTGAGCTGAGATCGCACCATTGCACTCCAGCCTGGGTAACAAGAGTGAAACTCCCATCTCAAAAAAAAAAAACAAAAAGACAGGCCCTGCCTTGAGGGAGATCCTATACCATTTGCTCATGTTTTCTGCATTAATAGAGTGCCTCCTGTGTACCAGCAAGGGTTTCACCACATTGGCCAGGCTGGTCTTGAACTCCTGAACTCAAGTGATCCGCCCACCTTGGCCTCCAGAAGTTCTGGGATTACAGGCGTGAGCCACCACGTCTGGCCAAGTGGAAGCTATTATTGGACATTTTATGTCGTACATTACACTAAGTGCTTTACATCAGGTAGATGTTTTACGTATTTATAAGTGAAAGGAAATTAAAGCATGTGAACATGACTTAGAATTGCATATAAAGACCATTACATGAACCTGTATCCAAATGATAATAGTTGCACAGAAAAATACATCAGGTAACTGAACTATAGGCAGTTGTCTTTTTTTTTTTTCTTTTCCTTACAGAGATGGAGGTCTCACTTTGTTGCCCAGGCTGATCTCAAACTCCTGGGCTCAAGTGATCCTCCCACCTCAGCCTCCCAAAGTGCTGGGATTACTGGCCTGAGCCACTGCACCCAGCCCCTGGCTGGCCTATCTTCTAAGGGCAAAAAAGGTGTATTGTTAGTAGTAAAGGTCATGTCATAATTTTGCAACCGTTTCACATAGGTTGTGGGAAAAGGTAGATAAATACGCTGTTCTTATTAGGAACCAAGATTTGTTCAGGGACAAAAAAAGAGAGGCATAGAAAATAAAATCAACTGGCCAGGCACAGTGGCTCACACCTGAAATCTCAGCACTTGGGAGGCCAAGGCAGGTGGGTCACCTGAAGTTGGGAGTTCAAGACCAGCCTGATCAACCTGGAGAAACCCCGTCTCTACTGGAAATACAAAATTAGCTGGGTGTGGTGGCAAATGCCTGTAATCCCAGCTACTTGGAGGCTGAGATGGGAATTGCGTGAACCCAGGAGGCGGAGGTTGCAGTAAGCCAAGATGGCGCCATTGCACTCCAGCCTGAGCAACAAGTACGAAACTCTGTCTCAAAAAAAGAAATTCAGGCAGAAGCCCCAGGATGATGAGGCTGAGGGAGCTCAAAGGCTCCCTCTGGCTGCCATTCAGAGAATGAACCATGGGAGGGCAGGGGCAGAATCCAGGAGACCAGACCAGCTGCTGCTGTCCAGGAGATACCGAGGGAGAGTGGGGGCTGCCCTGGCCTCCTGAGCCATGACCCTGTTGCCTCCCAGTCCCCTGGAACTGTGGGATTAGGCTGGCGGAAGCCCCTCACTACCCCTGTCACCTGTAGACAGCCAGCTAAAGGTGTGGATGAGCAAATATGGCTGGAGCGCCGACGAGTCGGGGCAGATCTTCATCTGTAGCCAGGAAGAGAGCATTAAACCCAAAAACATCGTGGAGAAGATTGACTTCGACAGTGAGTGGTGGCCCACGGCCTTGAGGTTTGGGACTAAGGGGGTATCCTCAAGGGAGGCCAAGACGGGCCCAGAGGACCTGGGTGGATCTGCACATGTTCAGGGCTGGCAGGTCTGGACCTGCCAGACTCATTCACCTTTTGTCTCAGGGTTCACGCCCAGGGAGGAATGGCGGGGAGCTGGGTGTCTTTCCTGGAACTTCGAGGCCCTGTGTCCTGCCCCATAGCTCTTGGCAAGATTTCCTGGGGCCCAGCAGGGCTTCACAGAAGTCTCTGCACCCTTACTCGTTCCTGAGGCCTAACCAGTTGGCCCTCCTTAATCCTTGGGGTGTCGAGGCCTCGTGTGTAGACATGGAGTCGGGTGAACAGTAGGAATCTTGATTGTCGACTTTGGGTGATTTCACATCTGTGTGCCTCAGTTTTCTCATCTGAAAAATGGGGACAGCTGCAGCAGTAACTAGGATAAACATGGCTTAGGTCCTTTCTCTTATGTTCTTTGATCCTCACAGCAACACGATAAGGTAGATGCCCTCCTTGTAAGTTGCTAAACCTACCTCATAGAATCACGAGCGTGAAAACACATGTAACACTTAGCAAAGAGCCAGTCACACAGTTCTTAAATGTTCATTGTGATGATACACACATGTAACTAACACAGGCTCAGCTGCTTGCTCAACTGAAGAGAGTGCAGTGGTTACTCCAGCCTTGGGGGCTGCATCACTGCCGCTCCTCATGGCACCGAACAGATGTCCTGGAGCCAGGGAGCGCGTCACGGGCAGGCTGCTCCCTTCATCCTGGCCACCCCCCCCACCCTCTTGAGTGTGATTTAGGTGTTTTAAAGGTACATTTGGGCTGGGCGTGGTGGCTCACGCCTGTAATCCCAGCACTTTGGGAGGCCAGGGTGGGTGGATCACGAGGTCAGGAGTTCCAGACCAGCCTGGCCAATATGGTGAAACCCCATCCCTTTTTTAAAAAAAGGTGCATTTGGTACAACATGGCTTCTTAACACAAATCAGCTAATTTTATACTTAACCGGGGAACAGCATTGAGCAGGCAGCCACCTGCGCTTGTGGCCTGTGGCATCTCAGCTGCAAATGCCATGTGACTGCTCAGCGAGAACTCCAGCAAAAGATTCTGTAGGGAGGAAAGGGCCTTTCTTCTCCCCTTTGGTTTCTGTCACCCCGCCCCACCTTTCTGACCTTTTAGGTCACCAGTGGGGAGGGCAGTGCTGAGTCAGCAAGGAAGAGGAGGAGGCAGGTATGAATAGGAGGTAGGAGCCCAGCCCTGCGGTGGAGCCCAGGCTCCTGGGGGAAGTAGATGGGAGGGTTCTTTCTGACTCAGTCCTGGCTCCATTGCTATGTGTCCTGGGCCCAGCAGGATAGGTTCAAAATACTCAGAGGCTGAGACAGGAGAATCGCTTGAACCCAGAAGGTGGAGGTTGCAGTGAGCTGAGATCGCTCCACTGCACTCCAGCCTAGGCAACAGAGTGAGATTCCGTCCTGCAAATAGTACATAGTAAATATTATTATCATAGAGGTAATTACAAACAACACTTAACTTGGCACTTTGTTCTAAGCACCTCATTTAGTTCTCCAATCCTATAGGGTAGGTGCTCCGTAAAGATAGGAAGGTGATGCTCAGAGATGTTCAGTAACTTGCCTAAGTGACCCAGCTGTTAATTGGCAGAGCTGAAATTCAAACCTAGCCCTCCTTGCTCCAGGGTCCATGTTTTTAAAATACTGCACTAAACTGCCTTTGTGATGGTAACTGGGACCTGGAAGGAGTTTGTGGTCTGCCCCTAAAGAATTTTGGGTGCCGTAGCAGGTAGCTGGAGGTTTGTCTCCTGCCTTTCTCACCTTCACTCTGGTCTCTCCTTCCCTACAGGTGTGTCCAGCATCATGGCCTCCTCCCAGTAACCACAGGTGTTTAATAAAGATGTGTTGACTCAGCCCTACTGTCTCCTCCCTGGCTTCCTTCCTCTACCCCTTGCCCACCAGAGGGAGCCCAGGAGCAGGCCTCAGGTCTGGCTGGGCCCCTACCCCACCCCACCCCACCCCCTTGGTGGGGCTTCCGCCTCCTTTTTCCCCTCTTCCACTTCCTCCCTTGCCCCACCCTGCCTCCCTGACCTTTTGTGTCATGGGTGGGGAGGGCAGCATTGAGTCAGCAAGGAACGAGTATGAATGGGATTTGGCAGCCCAGCCCCCTTGTGGAGGCTGAGCTCCTCTGGGAGGAGTGAAGGCGAGGGTTCCCTCTGTCTTGATCCTGGCTCTCTTGCTTTGTGGGGTCAAGGGACTCCGCCTCTCTAATTCTCAGCTTCTTCATCTGCAGGAGGGGAAGAATAATGCACCCTTCCGAAACCTGTGAGGGTTGCACTAGCCCTCGCCAGTAAAGGTCTGAGAGCTGGGCCTGCCCTGTCCTTGCTCTTAGAAAAAATACAGAATACACGCCTGTAAATCTGAGCACTTTGGGAGGCCAAAGCAGGAGGATTGCTTGAGTCCTGGAGTTTGAAACCAGCCTGGGCAACATAGAAAGACCCTGTCTCTAAAAAGAAAATTTTTTTTTGAGACACAGTCTCAGTCGCCCAAGCTGAAGTACAGTGGCTTGATCTCAGCTCACTGCAACCTCCGCCTCTCAGGTTCAAGCAATTCTCCTGCCTCAGCCTCCCGAGTAGCTGGGACTACAGGCACACACTGCCACCCCCAGCTATGCTTTGTATTTTAGTAAAGATGGGGTTTCACCGTGTTGGCCAGGCTGCTTTCAAACTCCTGAGGTCAGGCAATCTGCCCACAGCCTCCCAAAGTGCTAGGACTATAGGCATGAGCCACCATGTCCTGCCAAAAAAAAATTTTTAAATGGCTGAGCATGGTGGTGTATGACTGTTGTCCCAGCTATTCAGGAGGATGTGAGCATTCTCCTGATCCTGGGAGGTCGAGGCCGCAGTGAGCTGTGATCACACCACTGCACTCCAGCCTGGGTGACAGACCCTGTCTCAAAAAAGAAAATAGCCATTGTTAATTTCAGTCTCAGAAGTGTTACCAAGGTTACAAGCTAGTCCTCAGTACTATTTCATATGGAGAAACTTCATGAGAAAATTCGTATATACATATTTTTTTCTCAAGGTGTCACAAGTAGGCAGTGCCTTCAGGCACATCATTTTTCCCAGTCCCAGCCCGCTCCCCTGGTTAATGTTACCTGACCGGAGACCTAGCGCACCTCTCTGTTCATCCCCATCTTACCTGAGGAATTTGAGGCACTTGCAGTCGCCCTTTCTGCAGTGCATTTTCCCTCTGAGCATATTGCCTGCAGGTGGGGGTGTGGGGGAACTGAGGAATTAAAATGCCCCAGTAGAGGCTGGCTTACACCTGTGATTACAGCACTTTGGGAGGCTAAGGGAGGAGGATGGCTGGAGATCGCCTCTATTCAAAAGTAAAAATTGACTGGGCGCAGTGGCTGCCACCTGTAATCCCAACACTGGGAGGCAGAGTTGGGCACATCACCGGAGGTCGGGAGTTCAAGAACAGCCTGACCAACATGGAGAAACCTCTATTAAAAATACAAAATTTTAGCCAGGCGTGGTGGTGCATGTCTGTAATCCCAGCTACTCAGCAGGCTAAGGCAGGAGAATTGCTGGAACCTGGGAGGCAGAGATTGTGGTGAGCTGAGATCACGACATTGCACTCCAGCCTGGGCAGCAGGAGTGAAACTCTGTCTCAAAAAAAAAAAAAAGCAAAAGCAGCTGGGGTTGGGCAGGACAGTCCATGCATGTAATTCCAGCACTGGGAGGCTGCAGCAGGAGAATTGCTGAAAGCCAGGAGTTTGAGACCAGGGCAACCAAGTGAGACCTTGTTTCTATAAAAGATTCAAAAATTAACTGGGGCCCACCTGGCGTGGTGGCTCATGCCTGTAATCCCAGCACTGTGAGAGGCCAAGGCTGTAGGATCACCTGAGGTCGGGAGTTTGACACCAGCCTGGCCAACATAGTGAAACCCCATCTCTACTGAAAATACAAAAATTAGTTGGGCGTGGTGGTGTGCACCTGTAATCCTAGCTACTCGAGAGGCTGAGGCAGGAGAATTTCTTGAACCCAGGAGGCGGAGATTGCAGTGAGCTGAGGTCTGGCCACTGCACTCCAGCCTGGGTGACAGAGCAAGACTCCCTCTCGAAAAAAAAAAAAAGGCCTGGGCATGGTGGCTAACACCTGTAATCCCAGCGCTTTGAGAGGCTGAGGCACACAGATCACGAGGTCAGAAGTTCAAGACCTGCCTGGCCAACATGGTGAAACCTCATCTCTACTAAAAATAGAAAAATAGCTGAGTTGGTGGCTGGTGCCTGTAATCCCAGCTACCAGAGGCTGAGGCAGGAGAATCATTTGAACCCGGGAGGCAGAGGTTGCAGTGAGCCAAGATTGCGCCACTGCACTCCAGCCTGGGTGACAGGGTGAGACTTCATCTCAAACAAAGAAAAAAAAACCTTTTGTTTAAAAAATAATTATGGGACCAGGCACGGTGGCTTACGCCTGTAATCCTAGCACTCTGGGAGGCCGAGGTGGGTGGATCACCTGAGGTCAGGAGTTCCAGACCAGCCAGTCCATCATGGTGAAACCCCATCTTATTAAAAAAATGATAAATAATTAATTATAAATAAATAAATTAGCTGGGGCCGAGTGTGGTGGCTCATGCCTGTAATCCCAGCACTTTGGGAGGCCAAGGCCGATGGATTGCTTGACCTTGGGAGTTTGAGGCCAGCCTGGGCAACATGGTGGCACCCCGTCTCTACAGAAACTACAAAAAAAAAAAAACTAGCCAGGCATCATGGTGCAACTGTAATCCCAGCTACTCTGGAGACTATGGGAGGTGGGAGGGTTGCAGTGAGCCGAGATGGCGTCATTGCACTCTAGCCTGGGTAATACAATGAGATCCTGTCTCAAACAGAGGTAAGTAAAAATTAGCCAGGGACAGTGGTACGTGCCTGTAGTCCCAGCCACCGAGGAGTTTGAGGCTGCAATGACCTATGATTGCACCATTGCACACCAGCCCAGGTGACGGTAAGACCCTGTCTCCAAAAAAGAGAAAGAAATGATGTGACAAGATGGCGCCGAAAGCAAGGAAGGCAGCCCCTGCCCCTCCTAAAGCCGAAGCCAAAGCGAAGAAGGCAGCCCCTGCCCCTCCTAAAACCGAAGCCAAAGCGAAGAAGGCAGCCCCTGCCCCTCCTAAAGCCGAAGCCAAAGCGAAGAAGGCAGCCCCTGCCCCTCCTAAAGCCGAAGCCAAAGCGAAGGCTTTAAAGGCCAAGAAGGCAGTGTTGAAAGGTGTCCACAGCCACAGAAGAAAGAAGATCCGCACGTCACCCACCTTCCAGCGGCCCAAGACACTGCGACTCCGGAGGCAGCCCAAATAGCCTCGGAAGAGCGCCCCCAGGAGAAACAAGCTTGACCACTATGCGATCATCAAGTTTCCGCTGACCACTGAGTCTGCCATGAAGAAGATAGAAGACAACAACACACTTGCACACTTGTGTTCATTGTGGATGTTAAAGCCAACAAACACCAGATCAAACAGGCTGTGAAGAAGCTCCATGACCTTGATGTGGCCAAGGTCAGCACCCTGATTCGGCCTGATGGAGAGAAGAAGGCATATGTTCGACTGGCTCCTGATTACGACGCTTTGGATGTTGCAAACAAAATTGGGATCATCTAACAGTCCAGCTGGCTAATTCTAAATATATGTATATCTTTTCACCATAAAAAAAGAGAGAAAGAAATGATGCAATAGCTGTTCATTACTTAGAGTAGACTGAGACTGACGGCTTTCCCTTGGTGATTCATTGTTGGATGCTGTGTGGATAAGTGTTGCCCATGGAGAGGGCAGTTGCCGTGTCCAAGCAGCCAGCCAGCCCAACCTCCCTGCCTGCACTCACATACAGCATTCCTCCGAGGGCCCTGGCTTGGGGAGCCAGTGGGAGCAGACACCTGTTGCTCTGGGGCCCAGACCTCAGCAGGGACCAGTAGCCAGGAAGTGCCCAAATCCTGGGGACTGAAAAAAAGGGTGCTTCTGCAGTTCACTGGGATAAAAAGGACTGGGAGGCTGGGCGTGCAGTGGCTCAGACCTGTAGTCCCAGCACTTTGAAAGGCCAAGGCAGGTGGGTCACCTGAGTTCAAGACCAGCCTAATCAACATGGTGAAACCCTGTCTCTAGTAAAAATGCAAAATTAGCCAGGCATGGTGGCAGGCACCTGTAATCCCAGCTACTCGGGAGGCTGAGGCAGCAGAATTGCTTGAACCCAAGAGGCGGAGGTGGCAGTGAGCCGACATCACACCACTGCACTCCAGCCAGGGCAACGAGTAAAACTCTGCCTCAAAAAAAAAAAAAGAAAGGAGGACTGGGATACCACTACCCACCCATGAACTTGGGCACATTAGCAAAGTCACCCTTAGTGGGTGGGGACAATTCCCAGTTACCCACTTGGCAGGTGCAGAAGTTGCAGTGAGCCAAGATAGTGCCATCACATGCCAGCCTTGGTGACAGAGCGAGACTTGGTCTCAAATAAATAAAAATTAGATAAACCCCAACTCGTTCTGTCTCTCAATTCCATCCTGGTGGGTGCCTGTCATGCTCACTTGGGGTTCAGGGCTGCTGCTCCAGCTGCTTCCTGATACATCTCTAGATACTGCAGTGTTTGCGGCCGGGCGCGGTGGCTCACGCCCATAATCCCAGCACTTTGGGAGGCCGAGGTGGGTGGATCACGAGGTCAAGAGACCGAGACCATCCTGGTCGACAAGGTGAAACACCGTCTCTACTAAAAATACAAAAAATTAGCTGGGCATGGTGGCAGGCGCCTGTAGTCCCAGCTACTCGGGAGGCTGAGGCAGAAGAATTGCTTGAACCCAGGAGGCAGAGGTTGCAGTGAGCTGAGATCGTGCCATTGCACTCTAGCCTGGGTAACAAGAGCAAAA